TTCCACCAATCTGGGTTGTAGGTGTTTGAATATGGATCATTCATGTTATAATTTCCTACAAAACAGAGAGATTGAGGATTTTGGGGACATTCATCATAAATATGTGCGCCATTACATAAAACACATGTTACAGCATTATAAATTGAATGTTCTTGTTGTGCTCTAGCATCAACAGTAAGATTGAGAGTCTCTATTGACTTATTCAGAGATATGTGCTGCTAATGAAGATATAACATCGAGCTCCAGCAATCCTGCAGCTTCATTCTGTGCAATTGACCTCTCTGTTGGCCATTGGTAATTGTTGTATGCCATCTTCTCTAGGATTTCATATGCTTCAGTGTAAGTCCAAGAGAGCTCCTCCAGATGCTGCATCTACTATATCTTTAGTTTTTCCATTCAACCCATAGTAGAAAGTTTCCATCTGGATCCATTCAGGTATGCCATGATTGGGGCATCTCCATAGCAATTCCTTGAATCTGTCCCAGCTTTCATATAGTGATTCTCCATCAAATTGCTGGAACATTGCTATATCATTCCTCAATTGAGCTGCCTAAGGTCCTCCCATCTTCTGATTGAATTAGGTGGTAGAGTGTTAAGCCATGCCTTAGCTCCATTGGAGAGAGAATAAAGAAACAACTTCAGTCTTAGTGCATCAGATGTAATTCCTTGCATCTTAAAGTTGTCTGCCACATCCATGAAGTTCTTCAAGTGTAGATGCAGGTCTTCACTTGACAACCCATTGAACTGGCCAATAGTTTGCAGCATGTCAAACATCACTGGTCTAAACTAAAAATTGTTTGCTGCAACATCAGGTTGCACAATGGCAGAATGAAGATTGTTAAGTGATAACATTCCATGTGCCCTGATTGAGATTTCGTCTTGGTTTAGACCTCGTCCATCAACACCAAATCCTGTTATTCTTTCTGACATGTCAGGTAATGCTGTAGCAACGCTCTGTCACTATTGCCTCTTCCTAACTTGAAGTGTTCCTTTAATTGTTGGATCAAAGTATACTTCTGTTTAGAGAGGGAGACTGTTCATGTACTACCTGCAAAACCTGAAAACAGAAAGAAAAAGGATCAAGTATCACTTCACAAAGAAACTAACTTTATAAGTTTTCCCCGGCAACGACGCCAAAAACTTGTTGTGCAATTGTGTACCCCTTTATCAATCACAGATTACGCAAGTGCACGTGTCAACAAGTAATAAAGTGGATGTGTGAGTCCAGATATCGTTCCCACGAAGAAAACTATAAAGTTGTGATCAATGTGAAGCAATCAAGGTAACAAAGATAATTTGGAAGAGGGTAATGACTAATTAAACAATAAAACTAATAATTAACTAAAAGGATGCAGTAATAAAATAGGTTTTCCAAGTATTAAAGATAGATTGTGATCAATTTCCCCATTATTGCAACTTCACCAGAATGCAGTAACCATGCTACAACAATTATCCATTATAGCAAAGTTTAGGTAAACTGATTACATCGCAATAAGGGTACTCTATCACCCAATCATAACAATTTAGCCCATACTTGGGTGGGAAGAAACAATAAAGAAAGAATAAGATTCCATTAAACTAAAGTAAAGGAAACAGGGATGTTGCTGTAGCACTTCTCCTGCAGCTACCGTAGGCTCCACCACCATCAAACTTGCTTCAGCCGCCGGAATAGTGCAGGGATCCACCAGATTTGATGATCTCTCTACCAAACCCTAGCCTCACCCTTTGATTCCTTGGATCTCTCTCTCAACGAAACCTCAAATTCTCTCTAAGTGTTTCCCCCACTTTCTCTCTCTAGGATCTGATTGAATGTCTAAAGCATGTGTAGCGTTCCTAGCCTCCTTTTCTGTGTGTAGGGTTCGTTCCTTTATATACTTGATATTCTGGGCCTCCAACAACTCTTCAGGTCCATGTAAATCTTCATTCAAATCTGTCGTGTGAGTGGATAAGGATGACACTCTGTTTTGCTGTAATGCTGACAGAGCATTCTTTCCTTATTGCTGCAGCGCTTGATTGAAGATTCTTTCCTTATTTGCTACAGCGCTAATTGAAGATACAACTGTGTTTTGCTACAACGCTGATTGGAGATTCTTTCCTTATTTGCTGCAGCAGCGCTGATTGAAGATACAGCTGTGTTTTTCTATAGCGCTGATTGGAGATTCTTTCCTTAGTTGCTGCAGCGCTGATCAGGGACAGCGTATAATGCTACTGCATATCTCATCAGATTCTTTCCATTTCGTGTTTCAGGTCTGAATTTGGAAATGTAATCGCTGATTTAATGAAGCTTTAATGGTGATCCTTTGAATGTTTTAAAGCGCGTAGCCAGCTCAGGACTCTGATTATATGTTCATAAACTTTTTCTAGCTAATTGGGCTTGGATCCATAGCTTGCTGGTGATGATGCATTGTTGACCTCATCTGCACTGTTACAACACTGCTTTCCGATGCTACAACATTGAACTGCAGTAAAATAACAAATGCATTTAAATGTTTCCAATACCTCAATTTATATCCAAATACACATAATTAACATAATTCTCAATTAAATCATGAAATCATAGAATTCATGCATTAATCATATAAAATTAAGAGAATTATATGTAATCATAGCACCAAAACATCCCAATTAAGCCAAAAAATAACTCTCTATTGGAGAGTTATCAACCAGCTGAAGGAGGACGTTTTGGCATCCATGAAGCATGTTTAAACGCACAAAAGGAAGAAAAACACCATTGCTCCCTGGAGGAGAACGTTTTGGCGCACAATAGCACGCCAAAACGTTCATGAAGTATCCAAAACTTTTCGAAGAGCACATTTTGGCGTGATACTGGACGCCAAAACGTGTGAAAGTAGACAGAACTAAACAAATTGACAGCAAGGATTCACTAAAGAATTGCGGAAGATTAAGGAAAGATTTGATCAAGATATGCAACAGATTCCATGAAGATATAAAGAGGAAACACATCAACCTTGATTTGGAAAAGATATAACTTCAATAAAGAAGATGTGATGAAGATACAACAAAGATTTGAAGCTCTAATTCAACAACCAAATCTCCAAGATATCAAATGCAAAAAGGAAACAAAGATGAAATCAACCACAAATCTGATATGGATTCATTGGAGATTTAATGAAGAATACAACCCCAAAAAGCTATAAATAAAGAGCTTGGGGTCAAGACCAATTCACCAATTCCCAATTCCAGAGCATTACACCAAGCTTGAAGGAGGAATCCTGTTGCGGAGCGCTGGAACACTGAGGAACCAAGTCAACATCACACCAATGGAGGCTTGGGGTTCTCTTTTCTTTATTATTGTTTTTCAATTCAGTATGCTAGAGTAGTCTTTTATGTAGTTAAGGGTAGATGGAACCCAATTGAATCTTTATGTTTATGAATTAAATTGTCTCTGAATCCTGTCCTTTTTATAATTGAATAAATTATCTATTTTTAATGCTTTCTATGAGTTTGTTCCTTATAGAATAATTTTGGGGAATTGTATGACAATAGGGATGTTGGTGCATGAACCTTTGACTTGACAATTTATCATAATCCTTGTGATCTAAGAATAGGAATAGGAATAGACATAGGATAATTATGCAATCTTGAAATTCTTGATCTTAATGCATGTTTTCTTGGAGAATAATCGGGGAACTAGAGTTCTTTCAAGATTACATAGATTTATGGTAACAAGGAATTGAGCCGTAATTAACTCAGATAGAATTGATTGGCAATATATTAAGAAACAGATTCTTGGTCATTTAATTCATAACAACATATTGAGGATATTGGGGGAAGTCAAAACCTTAACTACGCTTGTTTTAAATCTTAATCAAACATCATCTCATTCATTCTTTTAATTCTGAATTTTCATATTGCATGCCTTTACTTGTTTTTAATTTTAAATTCTTTGAACCACAACTCTTTTCATCTAAATTATCTCAACCCAAACCTTTGATTGTCCAACTAAAACGCAAATAGCGAACTAGTGCTTGAAATTCTGATCCTCGTGGGAATGATCTCGTACTCAGTACATTTTATTACTTTCATAATCGGTGCACTTGCCGTGTCGCTATCAAGTTTTTGGCACCGTTGCTGGGGATCGAATTCTTCAACATCAGAAGTAACTAATTAAATTTTAGATTGGACGTTTATTTTTTTCTGCACTTTAATCATACCATAAAAACATTTTCTGCATACAAAAATTTTGCATATTTAATTTTCTGAATTCTTTTCTTTTCTATTTTTTTTGTTTTGTGTTTCTTATTTTTCTACACATCTTTTCAACTCTTAGTTTATGCGAGGTACTTCTAACCCGTGACTCTTGCAGTTTGATCCTGAGATAGAAAAGACAGAGAGGAAACTTAGGAAAGACGCAAAAGCAAAGAAAGCGAAAGAAACAAAAACAGCATCAACTCCTACGGATACAAAGGAAAAACCAAAAGAGGAACCTAAGGAAGAACTAATGGCAGAAAACAACGATCAAATTGTTCGAAGGACGTTGGGGGATTTACATGACCCCAGCTCGAGCTCCACAGACAGCGAGCATTGTTAGACCCAACATAGAGGCTAACAACTTTGAACTGAAGCCGGCATTAGTGCAACTGATTCAAAAAGAACAGTTCGCTGGAGGAAGCACAGAGAACCCCTATTGTCATCTTGATGACTTTTTGCTTTACTGTGATACATTAAAAGTAAATGGAGTTTCTCGTGATGCTATATTGCTCAAGCTATTCCCATGCTCACTGAAAGATGAAGCAAGAGATTGGTTGCAGTCTCAACCTGAAGGAAGCATAACCAGTTAGGATGACTTAGCCGCGAAATTCTTGGCCAGATTTTTCTCAGCCTCAAAGATAGTAAGACTCAAGGCGGATATCACAGCTTTTGAACAAAAAGAAAGTGAATCTTTGTACGAGGCTTGGACACGATTCAAAGGATTACTCCGGAAGTGTCCTCAACACGGAATTGAAGCATGGGAGAAGGCAATAATCTTTTTCCAAGGGATGACAACCAACCCAAGAACATTGGTAAATGCCGCTTCAGGAGGCTCATTGAAAACAAAAACTCCTGAGGAAGCACTTGAATTGTTGGAATCACTAGCATCTCAAGAATTTGACAATGCTCCTGCTCCAGTTGCACCAAGAAGATCAGGGATCATGAAGCTTGAAGGCTATGATGCATTATTAGCCCAGAATGAACAAATGCTACAAATGCACAAGAAACAACAAGAACAATTAGATGCCCTTAATAAGAAATTTAATATTTCTCAAGTTTCTTCTGTTTCTAATGATAACATTAAATGTGATATTTGTCAGGAGGCTTATGCAACTGAGGATTGTGAATACATCAGAAACACAGAAAAGCAACCAGCGGAGGTCAATGCACTCTGGTATGATCAAAAGAACTCGAACAATCCAGGAAGGAATCAATATGGTAATCAAGGGTGGAAGAATAATAATCAACACCCTGGGTTGAGTTACAAGTCAAACTACCAGCTGAATCCTCCTATGCCATTGCAACAACAACCTCAAGGCACTACATCAGAATGGGAGAAGGCTTTTGCACAGCTATCCAAAACAACATCCGACTACATTCAAAATGCAGATGCCTTCAGAGATGAAACAAGAGCTTGCTTCCGGAATCAAGAAGCTTCGACCCGGAACTTGGAGACTCAAATTGGTCAGCTGTCAAGGCAGTTCACTGAAAGAACTCAGGGCACCTTTCCAAGTAACATCGACACGAACCCAAAGGCACAATGATGTAATGCAATTGTCACAAGAAGTGGGATCGTGATTCAGCCTGTGGAAAAACCACCAGTTGAAAAGAAGAAAGAAGCTGAACCTGAAGCTGAGAAAGAGAAAGAAGAAGATGCAATAGAAGCAGAGAAGAGCATTCCAGAGAGGAAGCTGTTCAAATGGGAGAAAAAGAAAGCTTTGGACAGACAACCAAAAGCAGTAGATCCGTCTCCTTATGCAAAAGTTCCATACCCTCAGCGGTTGAAACAAGAAGTCCAGAAACAACAATACACCAAATTTCTGGACATCTTCAAGAAGCTGCAAGTCAACATACCTTTCGCAGAAGCCCTGGAAAGCATGTCGAACTATGCGAAGTTCATGAAAGACCTTCTATCAAAGAAACGCAAGTTGAAGGAATGCGAAACAGTGGCCTTGACAGAGGAGTGTAGTGCAATCATCCAGAAGAAACTTTCTCCCAAGCTGAAGGATCCGGGCAGCTTCAGTATTCCTATTGAAATAGGAAACATTGAAGTTGGAAAAGCATTATGTGATCTAGGAGCAAGTATCAACCTGATGCCACTGTCCATGTGCAGAGCTCTTGGAATCAAAGAGCTCAAGCCGACTACAGTTTCTCTCCAGTTAGCTGACAGATCGATCAGACGACCAGATGGGGTAATTGAAGATGTTTTAGTTAAAATTGACAAATTTATCTTCCCTGCAGATTTTTTAGTTCTGAATATGGAAGAAGACACCGAAATTCCCCTATTACTTGGAAGGCCATTCTTAGCCACAAGGGCAATGATTGATGTGGAGCAAGGAAAACTGATGCTGAGGGTGAACGAAGAAACAGTCACCATTGACATCTTCGAGTCAATGAAACATCCGACAGACGGAGAAGACTGTTTTATGATAGACATAATACAAGAAGCAATTGATGATGCTATGAAAGAGGAGAATTCCCCGCTTGAGTTAGAACAAATCAACGAAGAAGTTGAAATAACTGATAAAGAACTAGTGGTGGAATAACTTGAAAGAAAGAAAGATGACATCCCTCTAGGAGCACCAAAGGTTGAGCTTAAGGAGTTACCTCCAAATTTAAAATATTCCTTCCTGGGTAACAACAACACATATCCAGTCATCATCAATGTTGAGATAACAACCGCTGAAGAAGAGAAGCTTCTCAAAGTGCTGAAGAAACACAAAGCTGCCATAGGATGGTCCTTCTCCGACCTAAAAGGTATAAATCCTTCCTTTTGTACTCATAAAATTCTAATGGAAGATGATATTAAACCTGTGAGGAAGCCACAAAGGAGACTTAATCCAACCATGAAAGAAGTGGTTAGGAAGGAAGTAGTAAAACTATTGGATGCAGGTATGATCTACCCTATATCTGATAGTGCATGGGTAAGTCCTGTACAAACAGTACCCAAGAAAGGTGGAGTCACCGTGGTGAGAAATGAGAACAACGAGTTGATTCCAACAAGGACAGTCACCAGGTGGAGGATGTGCATTGACTATAGAAGACTTAATGCAGCCACTCGGAAGGACCACTTCCCACTTCCTTTCTTGGACCAGATGTTGGAGAGACTAGCTGGCCATGCCTTCTACTGCTTCCTGGATGGGTACTCAGGCTACAACCAAATAGCAGTAACTCTAGAAGATCAAGAAAAGACAGCATTCACATGCCCTTACGGAGTCTTCGCTTGCCGGAGGATGCCCTTCGGCTTGTGCAACGCTCCTGCAACTTTCCAAAGGTGTATGCTTCCTATATTTTCTGATATGATTGAGAAATCTATTGAGATCTTCATGGATGACTTTTCTGTTTTCGCTCCCTCTTTTGACATCTGTTTAGAAAATTTATCTTGTGTTTTACAAAGATGTCAAGAGAGCAATCTTGTTTTAAATTGGGAAAAATGCCACTTCATGGTGAAAGATGGTATAGTTTTAGGACATAAAGTGTCCAGAGATGGTATAGAAGTAGATAGAGCTAAGATATCTGTTATTGAGAAACTTCCCCCTCCCTCTAACGTTAAAGGTATTCGAAGTTTTCTTGGACATACAGGTTTCTACAGACGCTTTATCAAAGACTTTTCCTAGATAGCAAAACCACTATGCAAGCTGTTGGTCAAAGATGAGGAATTCAACTTCACAGACGAATGTTTGGTAGCATTTAATATTTTAAAAGATCAATTGACCACTGCACCTATTATCACTGCACCCGATTTCACACTTCCTTTTGAATTAAGTGTGATGCTAGTGATTATACTATAGGAGCTGTTTTAGGACAAAGAAAGAATAAATTGTTGCATGTGATTTATTATGCTAGTGAAATTCTGAATGATGCACAAAAGAATTATGCAACCACTGAAAAAGAGTTACTAGCAGTTGTCTATGCCTTTGATAAATTTAGACCGTATTTGCTGGAGTCTAAAGTAATTGTATACACTGATCATGCTGCTTGAAAGTATTTGTTGAATAAGCAGGATGCAAAACCAAGACTACTGAGGTGGATGCTGCTCCTTCAAGAATTTGAAGTGGAGATCAGAGACAAGAAAGGTGTGGAAAACTTGGTAGCTGATCACCTCTCCAGAATTCAAGAAAAAGATCTTCAAGACGGACCTGAGCTGAAGATCAAAGAGGAGTTTCCGGATGAGCAAATCATGGTTATCAATGTCATCTCGGATCCACAACCGAAGGAAGTAAAGACCACAAGTACACCTCCTTGGTTCGCAGACTTTGCAAACTTCAAAGCAGCAGGAGAAATTCTAGTAGACTTCACATGGAAACAAAGAAAGAAGTTCTTACATGACGTCAATAAATACTTATGGGATGAACCCTTCCTTTTCTACAGATGTGCTGATGGCGTAATAAGGCGCTGTATTCCAGAAGAAGAGATGAAGGATGTCTTGTGGCACTGTCATGGTTCCAGCTACGGTGGACACTTCGCATGAGAAAGAATGGCTGCAAAGGTGCTGATGAGTGGTTTCTATTGGCCAACACTTTACAAAGATGCAAGGAAGTTTGTTGAATCTGTGATAGATATCAGCGAACAGGGAACATCTCCAGAAGACATGAAATGCCTCTCAACAACATATTGGAGGTTGAGATCTTCGATGTATGGGGAATAGACTTCATGGGACCCTTCCCTCCATCTTATGGCAACAAATACATCTTGGTTGCGGTTGATTACGTCTCCAAGTGGGTTGAGGTTGTTGCCCTTCCTACTGATGATGCTCGGGTGGTCATTGCATTCTTGAAAAGAAATATATTCGTTCGATATGGAGTACCACGAGCGATCATAAATGACGGAGGAACTCACTTTGACAACAGACAAGTGGAGTACGTACTGGCTAAATGCGGCGTGAAGCATAAGATTGCAACACCATACCATCCGCAAACAAGTGGCCAAGTGGAGATTTCCAACCGAGAGTTGAAACGTATCTTAGAGAAAATATTGGGAAGCTCCAGAAAAGATTAGTCCAAGAAGCTTGATGATGCACTTTGGGCAGCATTCAAAACACCAATAGGTATGTCCCCCTTCCAATTACTGTTCGGGAAAGCTTGTCACTTACCGGTAGAATTGGAGCACAAAGCACTATGGGCAATCAGGTACCTGAACTTCGACTCCAAGACAGCTGTGGAGAAAAGATTACTTCAACTGGACGAGCTCGACGAGTTCAGACTATCTGCGTACGAGAGTGCGAGTCTGTACAAAGAGAATACGAAGAAGTGGCATGACAAGAAGATCTTACCTCGAGACTTCAAGGTGGGAAATCAGGTATTACTTTTTAACTCTCGTCTTCGTCTCTTCCCTGGAAAACTTAAATCCCGATGGTCGGGGCCGTTCGTCGTAAGGAACATGAAATCATATGGAGCAGTGGAGATTAGTCCGCTGGACTCCGATAGAAGCTTCACGGTGAATGGCCAACGACTGAAACTATACATGGGAGGAGCATTTGACAGAGGAACAACCACTGTTGCCCTTGTCGAGGTAACTTGAACGAGGTACGTCAGGCTCGTGACGTTAAACAAGCGCTGACAGGTAGGCAAACCTGTAGTTTACTGCTTTATTTTAAATTTTAGTTTAGTTTCTTTTGATTTCAAGAAAAAGAAAAGCAAAAAAGAGACAGACAAGAGAGGCCAAGGTCATGACTGAGTTCAAGGGAAGCGGAAACGACGACTCAAGAGGCTAAGGTATGGAATTTAAAGCTTAAATATAAAAATAGCCCCTGCCTCTACACGTTTTGGTGCACATATGACCGCCAAAACGTGAAGGAAAAGTACAAATTGATGTGCCTCACCATTATATTGCTGGAACGCTGCTATATCATTCCTTAACTGAATTGCTTTCGTGGGAGGAAAGAATTTCATCAAGAACTTTTCAGCCATGTCCTCCCATCTACGGATGGAATTAGGTTGTAGTGTGTTCAGCCATGCCTTAGCCCCATTGGTGAGAGAGTAGGGAAATAGCTTCATCTTTAATGCATCTGATGTAACTCCTTGTATCTTGAAGCTATCTGCTACCTCCATGAAATTTTTGAGGTGGAGAAGTGGATCTTCACTAGGCATCCCATTGAATAGGCCAATTGTTTCCAGCATGTCAAACATGACCGATTTCAATTCAAAATTTTCTGCTGCAATTTTTGGTTGAATAATCGGAGAATGAAGGTTCTTGAGTGTTTGGATTCTTTGTGCGCTGATTGAGATCTCAGACTTAATTGGCTCTTCCTTGCTAGCTCTTGCTCCTGTTAATCTTGCTGCCATATTAGGTAATGTTGTAGCGTTGCTATGAGTTTGCTGTCTTATCCTAGCTTGAAACGTCCTCCTTTCAGTTTCAAGGTTAAAGTTCACTTCTTGCTTGGTTGGAGAATTGCTCAAACACTGCAATTAAAACTTGAAAACAGAAAAGAAGAAAGGTGAAAGAAAAGAAATAGAAAAGATAGAAAGAAAAGAGAATTTCTTCACTTAAATAAAAAGCTTTAAAGAAATCATCCCCGGCAACGGCGCCAAAAACTTGTTGTGCAATTTGCAATCAATTAAATCAATCACACAAATACGCAAGTGCCCGTGTCACAAGTAATAAAGGGATGTGTGAGTCCAAGTATCGATCCCACGGAGATGATTTATAAAGCAATGATTATTTAAGTAAGGAAACTAGAAAAGGATTAATTTTTATGATTGAGTTTGTAAATAAAAGATAATTAAACTAAGAAAACAGTAAACTAATCATATGGTATTAAAGTGATGGATGAGGTATAGGTCAGGTTCAATTTTCTTGATACAACAATACTGAAACGATGCTATAACGATGCTTAATTAATAACCGAACACTAAGGTATGCTGGGGCTTTTGGCCAACCTAACATATATACCCAATAACTAATTCCCACATCTCTATGGCCAAACTAATTACTGAATTGTTAAAGTTCAAGTCCAAAGGCTATGTGGTGTGAATGATCTCTTTATCCACAACTTAATCAAGTTAACCTTAACCTAATTAATCCAACATAATTCGACAAGGGTCTGGATTCGAAAACCTCTCGGCCTCAATCTCCTCAATATCATATATGTATCTCTCGACATGCACACATGAATAAGAATAAGCAAACTCATTGAAAAACTAATTAAACATTCATAAAAACAAAGTTAAGGCATCCATTACAGTGTTACAGCATAGGTACTCTATCACCTAACCTATAGACCAATTTAGTTCATAATGGAATTAAATAAAACAAAGAAGAAGAAGAAGAAAGAAATCATTAAATAATAGAAAAGAAGCTGAAAATGAAAGCTGTTGTAAAACTTTGTCACGGTCTTTCTCCAGCAATGCTCCAGCAGCTCTTCTTTCTCCAAGAATCTTACTTTCTCTTTCTAAAACGTGGTGTGGGGTACTACATTCTTCCCAGCCTTTTTTTTAACCTCTCTCTCCCCCGTTTGAATCCGTAGGGGACTCCTCTTTAAATAGGAAAGGTGGTTGGTTAATTAGGCTTTAGGGTTAGGAGTGAAAATCCATGAATTGTGTTGCTG